TCACCGTTTTACTGAGGGACTTCCAAATCCCTATAATCAGCATCATATAAATGGCTCATCTCAGAAACCTCAAGCTCATGTTGTTGTGGCTGAATCCAATAGTTTTTCTCAGTATGAAGATGTATCTGATCACTGCTCAGTCTTTGATCCTACTTGGTATCCTGATTCAGGAGCAACCAACCATTTTACTTCAGATCAGTCAAACCTGATTACAAAGTCGAACTACAGAGGCAATGATTCTGTCAAGATAGGTAATGGAACAGGTATGAGAATACAACATATTGGTCACTCAATTCTCCATTCTCCTTATAATTCATCTTCTTTTGCCTTATCTAACCTCTTACATGTCCCTGGTTTGTCCAAAAACTTGCTGAGTGTTTCTCAATTTGCTAAAGAACACAATGTTTTCTTTGAGTTCCATTCTAACACATGCTTTGTTAAATCTCAGGTCACCTAGGAGATTCTTCTCCAAGGGACACTTAAGAATGGGTTATATGCATTCCAAGGTGTTAAAGTGCTCAAGAAATCTCTTCTTGCTGCACTTCATACAGAAACTTCCACTTGTAATAATTCTGTTGATTCCTCTCGAAATTCTTCTTGTAATTCTGTCATAGACCTATGGCATAGTCGACTAGGACATGCTTCATTCAAAACTGTAAAAGTTGTCCTCTCACATTGTAATATTCCATTTCATAATAAAGTTGACATTACACCATGTTGTGCTTGTTGTATGGGAAAAATGCACCAACTACCTTTTAATTTGTCTTCTACTGTCTATTCTCAACCCCTTGAATTAGTTTTCTCTGATATATGGGGTCCATCCCCTATGGACAGTATATATGGTTCAAGGTATTACATGTTCTTTGTTGATGCCTTTAGTCGATTCACTTGGGTTTATCCATTAAAAACCAGATCCCAAACTCTCTCCATCTTTATTCAATTCAAGAACATGGCTGAACTGCAATTGAATTCCAAAATTAAAGCTGTCCAAACAGATAATGGTAAAGAATACCTCACACTCACTCCCTTTTTACAGAACCATGGTATCCTACACAGATTGACCTGCCCTTATGTCCATCAACAGAATGGTACACCTGAAAGGAAGCATAGACACATTGTTGATACTGGTCTCACCATTCTGGCAGCTTCTGCTCTTCCATTAAAATATGGGAAGATGCATTCATGTCTGCTACTTTTGTGATTAACAGGTTGCCTTCACCTACCTTAGAAAATAAACCCCCTTTCCAAATTCTCTTCGATAAACTCCCAAACTACTCTTTTTTCAAAAAAATTGGTTGTGCATGCTATCCTTATCTTAGACCATATAACAAAAATAAATTCAATTATAGGTCAGAACCTTGTACGTTTCTTGGTTATGCTGTGAATAACAAAGGTTACAAGTGCCTTACTGCATCAGGTCGAATTATCACTACTGTTCATGTTATCTTTGATGAAACATTTTTCCCTTATAAAACTCCTAAGCTTTCCCCACTTCCATCATCACCTGCATCATCAGTTGTTCAAGTTGCACCTCATATACCTATTGTATCTCATCCATTGAGTGATCCAACATCTGTAAATTCTCATGTTTCTAATAACAATGTACCTACTGTTTTGCCTGTTACTAGCACTAATCCTTGCAGATTGCCTATTACTGGTATTCAAACTGCTTCTTCAAATGTTGCTGCTCCTTCAATCAGCTCTATTCCATCTCAATTAAGTCATACTGCTGCTCCTCAGAATGATCATAGAATGACAACTCGAGCCAAGGCTGGAATCTTCAAACCTAAGGCCTTCTCTGCTTCCTTGGAACCTACCATTGTGAATCAAGCTATGTCACAACCACATTGGTTACAAGCTATGAAAGATGAATACCAAGCCCTTCTTCGAAATAATACTTGGCAACTTGTTTCTCTTCCACCAGGCAGGTCCCCTATTGGCTGTAAATGGGTTTTTAAAACCAAATACAGTCCTGATGGCAGCATATCTAAGTATAAGGCTCGCTTGGTTGCTAAAGGCTTCCACCAACAAGAGGGCTTCGACTATGCAGAGACATTTAGTCCAGTGGTTAAGCCTACCACCATAAGAGTTGTTCTTACTCTAGCTCTCTCTCAAAACTGGTCTATCCATCAACTAAATGTGAACAATGCTTTCTTAAATGGAGATTTAACTGAAGAAGTATACATGGTCCAACCTCCTGGATTCACTACTGATGACAAAGATGTAGTATGTCGTCTCACTAAAGCCTTATATGGCCTCAAACAAGCACCCCGTGCTTGGTTTGAGAAATTAAGCTCTACCCTACTTAGACTTGGTTTTACATCCACTAAGTGTGACAGCTCTCTGTTTGTGTCATTCACTGCCACTGCCACAACTTATGTACTTGTATATGTAGATGATATTTTGATCACAGGTTCTAACTCTACTGCCATTTCTTCCCTCATTACAACATTAAATTCAGCCTTTGCACTTAAAGACCTAGGCAAATTACATTACTTTCTGGGAATTGAAGCTCACTCCTTGCAGACTGGTGGTTTGCACTTGACACAGTCCAAATACGTTTCTGATCTCTTGAAGAAAGCAAACATGGCAGATGCAAAGCCTATGCCCTCTCCTATGATCTCGGGACAAAAACTGTCTTCTACAGATGGTTCTCCTTTCCATGATCCTGTTTTATATCGATCCATTGTGGGAGCACTTCAGTATGCTACTATTACGCGTCCTGACATCTCCTTCTCAGTTAACAAGGTCTGCCAATTCATGCACAATCCCCTTGATACACATTGGAAGACAGTCAAAAGGATCCTTCGATACTTAAGTGGCACATCATCCTTTGGTCTTCACATTAAACCATCTTCTAACTTTCATGTATCAGCTTTCTGCGATTCTGATTGGGGATCAGATCCCAATGATCGCAGATCCACGTCTGGCCTTTGTGTTTTTCTTGGAGGCAACCTCATTTCCTGGTCATCCAAGAAACAACCGGTTGTTAGTTGCTCCAGTACAGAGGCAGAATACAGATGCCTTGCTTCCACCATCACTGAACTCGTGTGGCTGCGTTCCTTGCTCAGTGAACTTCGAGTATCTCTGCTGCAAGTCCCAACTGTCTACTGTGATAATCTGAGTGCTGTCTTGCTTACAGCTAATCCATTATTTCATTCTAGAACCAAGCACTTTGAGCTTGACCTCCATTTCGTTCGAGAGAAAGTAGTTAACAAGGTTGTTTCTGTCACCCATATTCCTGCAACTTCCCAGATTGCAGATGGTCTTACTAAGGCTATATCCAACGCTTCCTTTTCAGAATTCCGAACCAAGCTTCGTGCCTCTGATTCATCGACCACTGTGCTTGAGGGGGGATGAAAGAGTATAACAGTTGTCAATATATTTCTGTTATCAGTTTTACATTTCTAGTTATAGTCAGTTATAACTAACTCCTAGCTACTGAGTTGTTAGTTGTAACTAGCCTGTATATATACATTGCTATGATGTAATAGTGTGTAATGATGAATTGCTTTGTCTAATAGAAAGATCACATTCAGTTTTCTTCTCTTCTCTTTCTTTCTTCCCTTTCTTGCATTCTGGTCTGATACCTTACAAAAGTAAAAGATGATAATTTAACTTTTTATTGTACAATGCTTCTAGATTGCACAATAATCATCATACAAACTTTACAGAGCCGATACATATAAAAGATATGTTATTTGCCAAATAATCATCATATAAATCTTAGACTTTTCAAAAAACCGAAAATCGATCTAATTCAAAGCGAATAAAATTGGATTGGATCGGATCGGACTTGAAAAAAAAAATCAAATCGAATGAATGATTACATGATTAAGCCAAAGTGATTGAATCAGATAATTTTTAGTTCCAAGACTGATCCAACCCATACCCTCAACATCCGTAGTCCTTTTCATTTCTCCCTCTCTTTCTTCTTCAATAAAATTGACTAAGAAACTCTTTATGCAGATAACGTGCAAGTGGTTAATAAATCTTTCTTTCGTGCATGAACACGCGTATTCAAGGTGGCACATAAACATGAAATTCAGTATTATACCGCCAGTGGACCACTAATCTTCATGAACAAATAAAGAAGAAAGCCTCAAACCTGACGTTGCGGATAACACGGAAAAAAATGACTAACTGAGTAGCTTCATTAATACTATTAACTCACAGCTTCACTTGAATTTCAAAGTCGCAGCCAAACTTAAACGACTCACAGCTTCACATGATTTTCAAAGTCACAGCTAAACATAAACGTCTAACTTGGCATGTTTTCATGTCAAATTAAAGTGATTCGGCCTTAAAATGAGCCAAAAAGTATTAAGACTTACGGTTGAGAAGTGGGTCCCTCTCACTTTATCGCATGCAGTTTTCTAGTGCTCTTCATGTACTATATATACGGGTCTTTTAGAACCTTTGCTTTCATCCTTCTCAAGTGTTGTTGTGTTCACTAACAAAATGATTTTCAAGCCCTTTATTTTCCTTTGTTTTCTATCTGGGGTGGGTCTTATAACTGCAGTTGTGGCTGTTGAATCATCTAAATATAATGTTAAAGGTATGAACCTCAACCCTTTATTTAATGCAACTTTGTTAATTTGTTCATCAATTTTGTTAAAGAATTTAGTGAAGCATGTACTGATACATGTATATAGAAATGACAAGATAATGGGATATATATGAGTGTACATGATATTAATTTGTGAATGGCATATAATGCATGAATTACACCAAAACATTTTCGACATTTTGCATGTAATTTATATATAGTGAGCCTTTATAGCTCATGTATATACATTATTTTGTTGATGCAGCTGTTGAAACAAATGTAATTCCAGAATGTGAAGAAAAGCGGCCATATTGTAAGTATTTTGTTTCCTCTTCCCACGTTTTATTTTATGCCAACATTAAATATGAATCTTAACTGTAGCTTTATACGAGACATTATGCAGTTGTGAAGGGTAACGACAACTGTAATGGAATGAAAGGTGGTGGGTATGATGGTGGCCAAGGAGGAGGAGGAAGCGGTGAAGGTGGCAGTGGTGGTTATGGAGGTGGCCAAGGAGATGGTGGAGGTAGCCAAGGAGAAGGTTATGGTGGAAATGGAGGTAGCTAAGGAGGAGGCCAAGGTGGTAGCCAAGGAGGAGGCCAAAGGGGTAGCCAAGGAGGTGGCCAAGGAGGAGGTCAAGGAGGAGGCCAAGGTGGTGGCCAAGGTGGAGGCCAAGGTGGTGGCCAAGATGGAGGCCAAGGTGGTAGCCAAGGAGGAGGACAAGGGGGTAGCCAAGGTGGTAGCCAAGGAGGAGGCCAAGGAGGTGGCCAAGGAGGAGGCCAAGGTGGTGGCCAAGGAGGAGGCCAAGGTGGTGGCCAAGATGGAGGCCAAGGTGGTGGCCAAGATGGAGGCCAAGGTGGTAGCCAAGGAGGAGGACAAGGGGGTAGCCAAGGAGGAGGCCAAGGAGGTGGCCAAGGTGGTAGCCAAGGAGGAGGCCAAGGTGGTAGCCAAGGAGGAGGCCAAGGAGGAAGGTGGTGGCCAAGGAGGAGGCCAAGGAGGTAGCCAAGGTGGTAGCCAAGGAGGAGGCCAAGGAGGAGGCCAAGGAGGTAGCCAAGGAGGAGGCCAAGGAGGTAGCCAAGGAGGCCAAGGAGGTGACGGTAGCCAAGGAGGAGGCAGTAGCGGCGGAGGATATGGTGATGGCAGCCAAGGAGGTGGCGGTAGCAGCGGAGGATATGGTGGTGATGGAAGTGGAGGAGGCGGTGGTGGTGGATATTGAAGTAGTAATAAAGGAGGCTGTAATATTAAGAATAAAGGAAAAGGAGGTGTTGGAGGATGTGAAACCAAAGACTAGAATTAGACATTTAAGTTCTTTGTTGAACTTAAATCTGGATGTAATCTGGTTTCATTATCTTATTTTCATGTATATTTTAAGTTTATCCTGAAATAAAAAATTACCGAGACTTCTATAGCATATATATTATCTGATATATATTTCCCAATGCAGCCTATAGATATATATTTTAACAACCATATGTAGCAATCCAATTAGCTAACTATATATAGATTATCCTGATCAAAATTTATGAAATACTTTGAGTGGCTGTTGTTATAATGGGAGAGTTTGATATGTACATATTTGCGTCTATCATGTGCTTATGAGTTACAGCTTACCATTTTATTTTTTAGAATATAACCACATGCATATTGCAAATGAAACTAGCTAAAGTACTCTTCTGAATATGAATATTTAATTTAAGAATATATGATATGCATTCCGCATATAAGGAAATCTAAGTCAAAAAGAGAAAGAATGTTGATTAATCTTAAGAAAAAAGGGCAATAATCACTGTTGATCTATCAAAATCTTAATCAGAGATTGAATACTGATTTTATGTTGATTTCGTAGGAAAATAGACAAACTGGAGCTAAAAAGAAAAAAGTTAAACTGAAGGCCCACGCTCACAGCTTGGATATGACGCTCAAAGCATGAAAGGAGCTTTTCAGCCAGAGGTATCCACGCTACTAGCGTGGGATTTATGCTAGTGGCGCCAGAAATCCAATTCAGGCAGAAGCTACCACGCTACTAGCGTGGGATTTACGCTAGTAGCGCCAGACCCTCAAACAGTCCACGCTTGCAGCGTGGCAACCACGCTAGTTGCGTGGTGCTCCAGGATTCTTAACAAAAACCCCACGCTTACAGCGTGGGAGGTGCGTCAATCAGCATTAAATCCCTTTTAAACCAGAGACAAGATTGCACTGAGATGCAGAAAAGATTATATCCAGATTCTACACAAGGTCAAAGACTCTATAAATAGAGACTCAGACCTCAAGAAAAAAAAAATTTGCACAGATTGACGGAGGCAGAACGCAGAGCAAGCTTCTTCTCCAATTTTCTGGTTTTTATTAATTTATGAATTCTTTTCAATACTTTGAATTGGCAGACATGAATATGTCTGGCTAGTTTTTATTATTGTGGTAAGGGTCACAACCCTTGATGTGAACCCCTTGTAGTTTGGTTAAATTTATATTTAATTATTTCAAATTGCATTTATTTTATCCTTTTCTTTATCTTTTAATTCTTTTAGAATTGATCACTCTATTAGGATTGCGAGGGTTAGGGTTTTCAATAAGAATATTGGGATTCGAGTTCCTGACAAGGGTAAAATAACAGTTCATGTATGCACTAGGGATAGGCTACATGAACTGCAAACGTGGAAAATTCACTGGGTTAAAGGATTAACTTGAAAAAGGATTTCTAAGGGATTATGATTCTAACAGGGTTAATAAAGTTAAGATCACTAAGGGATTATGGCTTAATTAACCAATTAATAGATGGTGAATTGTTTGATCAATGAATAATTGAATGTAAATATTAATTAATATTACAAGGTGGGGATCAGGAAGGTGTTGGCGTCCTTTACTGCAAGAGCATTTTAAATATTTTTCTCAACTTTAATCTTTTATTCTCAAGTTCTCAAAATCATCTTTGAATTGTTCACAAGTCTTGAATAATTCTCAATTTTTACAATCACAAATATTCTCAAAACCAATTTTATTAATCCAACAAGAAAGGAATAGTTAAAATAATTTTAGTGCCTCAATTCTCGTGGAGACGATACTCTACTTACCCTTTTATTACTTGGTACGATCAGTACACTTGCCGATTTTACGCAACAATATACATGCCTCCAAGTAATAGTTCAGTTTTATTACTTTAGCTAATTATCTAATATGAATTATTCACGCTTGATAATTTAAATTAATTTATAAAATTTAGTCTCTTGTGCGAGAGAAATTTAAATTCAATGTATTTCTTTTAAATGAATGTGGGCTAATTTTTTAAAATTTTTACAATAAATATTTTATTTTGAAAACAAACTCACTATTCTATAAAGTGCAAAACAACATAATTATACGATAAATTCTTACAATTCATATTAATTACCCTTGATTTGGTAAATTATATAATTAACATTTGAATATCAAACAACATAAATCGTTGTGTGAAGTAAAAAAATTAATTTTTTAAAAAACTTACTTGATAGCTAAAATATTATTAAAAGCCTGAATCAAATAAATAAGTAAAATAAGCTGGATTAGCAATGTCGCAACTCAATGGCTAATTCATAATTTGATTTATAATAAGCAAAGCAAAGAGGTCATAAAAAAAACAATGATTAAAAAAATCACATTAAACTTGAAATAAAATTTGTTATTTTCATTTTCTATGTAAAGAACCTTGAGATACACCACCCAAAAGCTAGCTCAAAGGGTGGGAGTGTCCAAGGTCCTATGAAGGCCACATTAGTTGCACATACAACTAATGTGGGACTATATATCTCAACACGTTCCCTCACACAAGAGCCCATCGGACTTGAAGAGTGGACAATGCAATAGACTCAGCCTACTTATGCTAAGAAACACCACAAGAGAAAATGGAGGCGGCGAGGCTCTGGTACCAATTCAGAAAGTAAAACAATATTTCAGATTACAAAATTAATCTCTGTACACTGGCCACTGAGTGGCGCCAAATCATGAAAGTGTCTAATCCTAATTCTATTCAACAAGGAGCTAGAGCCTACTCTGACAACAAAATAGTCGGAGGAGGTTATATACGAAGGAAAAAAAAGAATCAAAGAACATGATGGAATCAGAACCGTTAGATGTGACGAACAATCTTCTGATTCCCTTGCTTCTCCTAATCTGCATGCTATGAAAATTCTAACCTTCCCTCACACTAGTCCACCCGTCTGTTTCTGACCAATCAATTGGTCTCTGATCGGTGACCAGTTGCCGGAGCCGATCCATCGGCGAACATAAACTAGGCAAATAGGACGAAGCAGGAGTGAAAGCACAATGAGGGAAATCACAGTGAGTTCTTGGCGATGGCTCTACCTCTTGCTCCAACAACTCATTGACGTGCTTGAATGGAACATTGTCATCATCATCCACAAAGGGGTGTTTCAAAAGCATCTTAGCCGTCCATCTCTTCTTGCGATCCCTAACAAAACACTTGCTAAGAAAATCCTTCCCTCGTTGCGACAATTCATCTGGAACATGCGGCAATTCTTCACCTACCCCAATTCGAAATAGCAATGACCAGATATTCGATCCGCTACCCACATTCCAAGCGGGTTTTCGGGTCACCATCTCCACCACGGCACAGTCCAGAGCCCATATATCCGCCGGAGACTCACACTTGTTGTTCAGTGACTCCGGCGACATAAACATAGGAGTTCCCCTGCACTCGCACGTTGTTTTACTCTGTTTCTCCCCCGTCTCCTTTGCAAACCCAAAGTTTGCAATCTTGACATCATCATTGTCGAAAACAAGAATGTTTTGTAGCTTTATATCGCAGTGGACAAAACCCTTGGCGTGAACATGGATTGGGTTCGGGGAAACATTCTTGGACGGGGAAGCTTTGCCACAGTCAATCTAGCCATACCCACAAACGGTTCCACTCAGTTTTCTTCTCCCACCGCCGTCAAATCCTCCAATGTTTTCACCTCATATTTGCTCAAGAACGAGAAACAGATACTCGACCACCTAGGGTATTGCCCGCATATTGTTAAGTGTTACGGCCATGATTATACCTTCGAAAACGGTGGAGAGTATTATAATCTGTTTCTTGAATACGCTGCCTGTGGTACCCTCACTGATCAGCTCAGGAATCACCGTGGGGGATTCCGGGAATCCTGTGTTCGACGATACACGAGGTCCATGACAGAGATGTCGAACTCGCGTAAATTAATTAAATCAGGTTAATTAAAATTTTGTAGTAAAGCGTCAACTTGAGTGAGTAATATCTCAAGGAGTTTGCAATGAACTCAATCGCTCAATTATAAAAATGAAAACCAAATGAAAAGGGAAACCAAATAAAAAATGGAAACTAAATAAAAAGAGAAAATAAGGAGAAATGGAAACTAAAGAAAAACGGAAACTAAAATGGGGGGTTTGAATATGATTGAAAATTTAAGCGGAAATGAAAAAAAAAATCAAATTAAAAGCAATCAACCCAAGAATTAGAATTCCAAGGATATCCATCATTGGACAAATAATTACCAAATCGTGATTGATCTCAATTGAATCAAAATCATTATTTCCAATTGAGAATCCTCTCTTAGCGATCGCTTAGCGTTTGGTCGAATACGACGCGTCTACTCGAGCAATCGCGGAGTATCAACCTGTTCGACTTGAGTTCATTGGGTTAATCAACCTAACCATTAAATCTAATGGTTAATCTCTTTCCTAAGAACGCAATCGCGTATCTCAGATTGAACACCCACAATCGCGCGATGCCAAATCGAGTTGGAAAGAGAAGCGTATTTGGTTCAAAATGAGGCGCAGGTCCTCAAGATTCAACCATGGAATCCTCAACCCTTGGGTTGATTAAAGAAAAGAGGAGAGAAAAGAGACGAAAATTATATTAATTTCAAAACTGTATAATTCAAACTCAAACGAAAGATGATCCACAAGGTCCCTACTCTCGCCCTTTTAACCCATAATCAAGCTGGACTTCGGGCTCTACAAATCCAACCCAAAATAAAAGGAAACAAAACAAAAATATTGGCTCTGGGCCTCATATACATTGGGTTCAAAATTATAACTTCAAGTTCAAACGTAAAAATAAATTTTCAGCAAAACACGTCCATCTTGGGCTCAGGTTTCGACCATCTTTATGTCCGAATTGGGCTTTAGTAGCTGATATAGAAATTGTAGCCCTTCCTTTTATCTGCAAAACGCAACAAGAACGGAATTAATAGGACATCTGTAGAGTGAGATATGGCCAAAATACAAAAGTAGTGTAAATCTGAAAAATTATGACGAAAATCAATTAAACCCAATTAAAATCTAGAATTCTGATTTGACCCAAAAGACCTTTATTTAATTCAAATAAAACCTAAAAATACCAACCAAGAGTAATAAATAAGTGTAACAAAATATGTGTTATCAGTCCATCATCGAATTATCGGAGCCTTGCCGCCCCCACTTTCTCTTGTGGAGTTTCTTAGCACAGGTAAGCTGAGCCTGTTGCATTGTCCACTCTTCAAGCACAATGAGCTCTCGTGTGAGGAGGCGTGTTGAGATATATAGTTTCACAGTGGTTGTATGTGCAACTAATGTGGCCTTTATAAGGCCTTGGGCACTCCCACCCTTTGAGCTAGCTTTTGGGGTGGTGTATCACAAGGTTCTTTACATGGTATCAGAGCCTCGCCGCCCCCCACTTTCTCTTGTGGCGTTTCTTAGCACAGGTAGGCAGGCTGGGTCTGTTGCATTGTCCACTCTTCAAGCCCAATGGGCTCTTGTGTGAGGGGGCGTGTTGAGAGATATAGTCCCACATTGGTTGTATGTGCAACTAATGTGGAGTTTATAAGGCCTTGGGCACTCCCATCCTTTGAGCTAGCTTTTGAGGCGGTGTATCCCAAGGTTCTTTACATGGTATCAGAGCCTCGCCGCCCCCCACTTTCTCTTGTGGAGTTTCTTAGTACAGGTAGGCTGGGCCTGTTGCATTGTCCACTCTTCAAGCCCAATGGGCTCTCGTGTGAGGAGGCGTGTTAAGATATATAGTCTCACATTGGTTGTATGTGCAACTAATGTGACCTTTATAAAGCCTTTTCTTATCACATAACAGCTTCATAGGTCTCTCACATTTTGTTTTGAGATCATCAAGTATAATTTTTAGCCACAGTAACTCACAGATACCTTGAGCCATAGCTCGAAATTCAGCCTCTGCATTTGATCTGGAAATCACATCTTGTTTCTTACTTCTCCATGTCACCAAGTTACCACAAAGAAACATACAATAACCAGTGGTAGAACGACAGTCAGTCACAGATCCAGCATAATCAGCATCAGTGTAGACTTGAGCTAGCTTTTGGGGTGGTGTATCCCAAGGTTCTTTACATTCTCTTTTAACTTTTCTACGGTTTTTATTTTCAATATATACTTTCTGTTGTTTTTTTATATACTTTTATTTTTTGAAAAATCTTTTTTGAGGAAACTACATGCATTAGAGAACCTACATTGATGCAAGTGTGTGTAAGGGCACACACTAACTTTTGAAGAAAAAAAAGTAGTTAGTGTGAACAAATACTCGATGGTCATTTCATTGTATTACCTTTTCTCCGGCTGCCTTAATTCTTGCATATTCATCATCTCGGTTTGGCTAAATATCACAGCCATAAATCACCAGTTAGAAATTTAACATTTTAAAGGAGATGCAAAACTATAATTAAAAATCTGGAAGGAGAGGAATTTCGGTGGTTCCGGACCACCATTAACTCAGTGATCAGGACCAATCAAAATCATACAACTATTAAGGAGAAAGAAGAGAGGAGAAAATAAATAAATTTTTGTCCAAGTGGCACTCCCTAAATGGAAGGACCACATTGAGCCTTGAGCACCAAAAAAAAAATCCCCACTAGAAGCAGCTTACTTTGTGGTTATTAAAAAAAAATTGCAACATGCAAAACTATTCATAGTATCTTTAACAAAAAAAATTTGGGGACGCTGCCCGTGAACCCCACCACTAATTATGCAGAAATAAATAGAATGCTTTGAGTCGGTCACTGACTACATGTCTACATGTATTCAAATCCACCATTAAATCTAGACTTCCGGCTCATTAGCCTAACAAAGCAAAATATGTCTCTTAGGACTTGTATTAATTTATTAAAAGAATAGTAACACCAACCCATTAATATTAACAACTTAACGCAAGTAAGAAGAATTATAACCTCTCTAAATATAAAAAGAGAATAAAATACTATTCTCTTTTATATTAGGATAATATGCCTCACTAAAAAAGTAGGGCTGTGCAAAAAAACTGGTTCACTTGCCCTGCCCTTGATCTGACCTTGACCCGACCCATAAATACCCATATTTTTTGAACTGGTTTAAATACTGACCCACTTTTATTTGGGTCAGTTTTAGACCTGACTCGTTTTAATATTGACCCACTGACCCAAAACTTGACCCATACCCATTATGTAAAAAAAAAATCACAATTACATTAAAAGAAAAGTTTTAACGTAAAACAATTACGTCAAATTTTTTTATGGAAAATATTTTCATAAAAATTTTACAGATTTCAAATTTCTGCGAAAGTTTTCAACGGAAATATTTTCGTCATCAAAAAATTTTGACGGCAAAAAATTTCATCAAAATTCTTTACAATTTCAAATTTTGGCGAAAGTTTTTGACGGAAACATTTTCGTCATCAAAAAATTTCATCAAAATTCTTTACAGATTTCAAATTTCGACGAAAGTTTTCGATGGAAATATTTTCGTCATCAAAAAATTTTGACGGCAAAAAATTTCATCAAAATTCTTTACAGAATTCAAATTTTGGCGAAAGTTTTCGACGGAAACATTTTCGTCATCAAAAAATTTTAACGGCAAAAAATTTCATCAAAATTCTTTACAGATTTCAAATTTTGGCGAAAGTTTTTGACAGAAATATTTTCGTCATCAAAAAAATTTGACGGCAAAAAATTTCATCAAAATTCTTTACAGATTTCTAATTTTGGCGAAAGTTTTCGACGAAAACATTTTCGTCATCAAAAAATTTTGACGGCAAAAAATTTCGACGGCAAAATATTCATCAAAATTCTTTACAGATTTCAAATTTCGGCGAAAGTTTGCGACGAAAAAATTTTCGATAAATTTTTTGACAAAAAAAAATATTCGTCGAAATTTTTAGCGAAACACATTTCCATCAAAAATTTTCAACTAAATATTTTCGTCAAATTTTTTGATAAAAAATTTCCATCAAAATTTTCCACGAAACACATTTCTATAAAAAAATTCCGTAAATTTTTTTGACAAAAAAAACATTTTGCCGAAAAAAATATTTTGTCAAAATTCTTTAGAGAATCTAAATTTCGTCGAAAGTTTCAAATGAAACATTTCCCTCGAAATAATTTTCGTCAAAATTTTCGTCAGAACACATTCCCATCGAAATTTTGAACGAAAAACATTCCGTTAAATTTTTTGACAAAATTCTTTTTTCGTTTAAAACATTTGATGGAAGAAATCATTTTCGTCAAAACTGTTGACGGAAACTAAATTTCAATAGAAAATTTTTTTTTTGTAAAAATTTCGACGAAAAAATAATTTTGTGACGAAATTTCCGTCTTTTGCTACGTAAAAATTTCGACAAAATTTTGTGAGAAAACCAAGTCAAAAACGGGTCAGGTCAGATTTGACCCAGTTCAGAAACCAAGTCAGACCCACTTCAAAAACCAAGTCAGGTCAGATTCAAACTGGTTTTGAACTAGTTCAACAAAATCCAATCCAAGTCAGACCTGACTTGGATCAAATTAAAGCGGGGCGGGTCAAAATATCTGACCTATAAAAACCAAGTTGGATCGAGTCGGACAAAAACCTGATCCGACCTGACCAATGCACAGCCCTACTAAAAAGGATCCCCCACAGCAAATATTTGGGTTGAGACTGACTCAACTGCTGCGGTAATTCTGATCTCAACTGGTTGTGATAGTAGCAAGCCCTTCTTCACTCTTGTTAATCGTATGAGAACCTCATTGCACAAAGACTGGAACGTCAAGGTCTCCCATCCTCTTAGG